CAGGATGAGAAGTTTTGGTTCTGGGCATACTGCAGCACAGTGGAGAGGGCAAAGCTGAGGCCAAGTTTTTGAACGCAACACAAAGAATCAAGTGAATGTCTTACACATTAGGCATGACAGTTTTGCTGTCTGGAATACATCAGCCATAATAAGCCTTTTTTCTGTTGTCCCCGCTGCCATATTTATACACACACACACACACACACTCACATACACAGCACACATGCACACACTGCATCATAGTAAATCTTTACCATATACCATCACATCTTTCGTAGGCATTCCGTCTTCATCAGTGGCTAAAATATGGTGTATAGGGTTACTGCAGACAGGCACGGGGATGGCTGCAGAGCAATAAGATAGCAGTAATGGAACACCATCATTTAGGAGAATGTAATAAGTGAATATCTAATAACCCTGTAAAAGATGCTTAACCCCTGAATTTCTGAGGTCAGCTAGAGAGATAGGAGAATAAGCTGATTAAGAAGGGTTTCTTCTCACGTTGCGGTCATCGCAGGATTGACCAACTCCTGACCCCACTGTTTGGAGTGCGGTTACCGTAGCCTAGAACCACTCCTATGTTTGGATAAATGTGCTATTTATGGTCTTTGAGAATAGCTTGTGTCTGATATGGGAAAGCAATAGGTTATGAATCCCTGCCTGGAATACAGGAGTTAATAGAACACTAAAGATTTAAGGTTTTACTGTGTTATTCACCTTTGCTCGACATTTGTCACATGGTTCCAAACTGAAAGCTACGAGTAGAACCTTATTGTTAAATTGTAGTGTTTGGAAAGGTCTTACTGAAAGAACTTAGGCTCTGGTTTTGACACAGGGAAAGTTACTATATGGTCAATGACACTCTTTATATTGATCTGTTGTCTGGTGATTCATTGACAAGAAGATACATTAGCCCAAATCCCAAGAGAACTTTAAATTAACTGAAGCAATAGGTTTTAAATGTGAATCCCCACCTGTTTCTCATACAATTACGTAGTTTTATCCCCCAGAGACAGACTTGGTAAAAGACAGGTGAAATGTGCCATGCTCAGAATGAATGATATCCAGGATTTAAGGTCAATCTTACTCTCTGCTTCTTTTCACAGTATAGGTGGAGTGTATACACACACACACACACACACGCACACAGAGAGAGAGAGAACCAGATCCTAAAGCCATTCTCAGGCAGGGCAGCAGAGTGTGTCCTCATTACCGTCTGTGAGTGTGTAGTCACCACTCAGTCACAGCTCCTGCTGCCAGAATGGGATTTTCCCCTCTTTTCTCCTCTGACTCTTCCACCTCTCTTTCACCTTAACGTCTCTTGCATATCGCTTCATCTATTTCTCAGACAGAAAATCATTATCAGTCAGAAAGACAATTTCCTGCTCCTATGGTCCCTTATACAGCGGCAGTCAAAGGTTTTTGAAAACCTTATATTTTAACATTCTTCGGTTAAATTTCAAGCAACGTAATTGTCAATTAGTACACAATTTCCTTGGAAAGTGAACAGAGAAATGTTGAATAACTTTTTTTATTTCATGTGAAGTTATGTAGACATAATTAACTGGGCCCAAGTATTAATCAATTTTAGTCAGCACCTGTAGCCATAAAGCTAACGCTATCTGTGTGTAGCAAATTTAACATCTGTAGCCTTAGTTGATTGATCTTTCGAATGGACATGTTTTGAACAAAATGCTATATTGCAAGAGTCCCATTACTATATAAAGATTTAGGTCAGCAGTCATCTGGGGATTCAAATGTCACCTCATGAGGGACAAAAGGCAAACTATCATTACTGTAACTAATGAAAGTGTGTTTTAGGGAATTTGCACATTAGGTAATGTATGTATGCTAAAATATCATTAGCACTGGGTATTATACAGTCAAAAGGCAGCAAGGGAATGGAGAAGCCTCATTTGAAAAAATCTGGCAGACATTTTGCCAATTAAATATAAGCAATTTTTCTCATTTCTGTTACACCTAGCTCTGCTTGTGTAATTTACAATTACATTATTTGAATTTAAGTATTTATAGGTAACTATGCAAAGCTGTACTAGTTTCTTTCATTACAGTTTCCCTATTTTGTTTTCACGCAAGCAAAATTATATGATTATAGCATTTTTCAACAAAAAATATGACATCTCTTTACACATAAGTATGTACATTTTTACTTCTCTGCTTTACTACTATCTTATAAAACAAAGACACTGAGCTCCAATTGCACTCTCTGTCTCTGACAGGCGAACAGAACTCTTCAACTGTAGTAAAAAGGTTTCACTGAAAGCTCCTCTCCTTTGCAAAAGTAGCCAAACGATTTCCATTCGCCACTGGGAGTAGCTGGAGTTTACAGTCTCCTGATAGAGGATCAAAGGAAGAGGGGGAGAGGCAGAGCACACACAGGGATATTAGACTGTAATAGCAACCAGATGAACTTGTTGATAGAGTACTAAACAAGTCTAAATAGCCTAACACCTGGCTCGTTCTGACAAAGGCATTATCTGACGCCACCAGTTTACCAACTTGAGAGTTTAACAAAATGATACTCAGTGTTATTTGCTCCTCTCTTTCTCCTTGGAGCTATCTTAAAGTGCCATATGTTTTCTTTATAAAGTCTGGAGCCTGTTGACAGTAATTCAGATGAGGAAGGTTGTGTGCTGAGGTGAGTGCAGCAGAGTAATCAGTAAATGCATGGACAATGTAGTCACCCGCACTTCTTATACATTCACTGTGGTAGGCAGCTGTCTGCTCTTATCCTCTCGCTTTGTCAGGTTGAAAGAAGTAAAGCTGAAGGGGAAGAAACAGGGATCCAGAGCTGGTGGAGGAGAAGTAGAGGCAATTCTGTTGTTTGGTTCTGTTAACTATGAAGCTCTCCTCTTTTATTTGATCTCCCTGTTCCTTCAGAAAACTCCTCAGTCACTCTGCAAGGGGTTTTAACAGCAGCAGTATGTGTGTCTTAACATCAGATGAGAGGTCTTAGCCCAGGTAATCGAATTTGGGATCATGTGATTGGACAGGACAAGGGGAACAGGATGAAGAGCCATTTACCCACTTGACCTGCCTCACATACACTCAAGAGAACAGATACACACAAAAACAGTCTCCATTTTTAGAATACTTTGCCAGGTCACTGCTGGTCTAAAAAAAACAACATGGCTACTTCATGTGCTGTTCGCCCATCTGGCCGGCCAGAGCCTCTTCCCCACGGTCCTGTTTTACATGAAACATACTGTTGCTTCAAAGCTGCGTTACTGCCTGTTTAGCCATAATGTGCCATTATGCATGGCATCCAAGAGCATGCTGGAGCACAAAAAGAACCACATGTGGAGCACTCCAAGTGCCCAAAGCTATATATTACACATGTTACATACTGCACATGTTATACACTGTGTGTAGGAGACTCTACTTTACATAGCTCCAGCTGGACAGGAGGAAAGATGGTTAAATACATGTAGTTGATTCAAAAGGCATGAGATTATTCATTTCCCTTCTCCTATGGTAACAAGCCCCCGCTCCACAGTGTAAGCATACATGTATACATGTGCACACACACTTCGATAGCAAGTCCTACCTAATCTGCTGATTGCATGTTATTTAATACTGTAATGTGTGGAGGTATTTTGAAAATTGCTGGTGAGAAAAGTGAGAGAGGCAAGAGGAAGAGATCCAACATGAAAACAAATTCGTAAAGATTTTTTTTTTCTTCCCTTCCTTATTGAAGTGGAGATGTTTCAGTCAAGCTTGTTTGTAAAAAAGTTTGAAGTGAAATGGATTTCTGCGAATGAGAAAACAACATCAGGGCTAAGCAACTATTTGAAGGTGCTGTCAAAGGCTTTCTCTGTCTTTACCCTCCTCCTTTCATCTTTCTCTCATCCCTCGCTCCTCCTCCTCCCTTCCCATTCTCATTAGTGATGGTTGTGAGAGAGTGGAGAACAAAGCCCAGACCCTGCCAATCGATCACCGAGCTGCACTATCAATCGACTGGTGGAGCACAGGTCTCCTCCATCTGCCCAACGATTGGCAGGTCAAAGATTGATGAAGAAGGAAGACTGTTGTGTGTCTGTGTGTGTTTGTGTGTTAATGCAACAGAGTATGTCTTTGTTTTAGATAAATTACAGAAGATTAAATCTCATCGTGTTTGTCAGCTACATATTTTAATTTGTACTCGGCTCAAAAATAAATTAAAATTGTACCGAAAGTGTGTGTGTGTGTGTGTGTGTGTGTGTGTGCGCGCGCGCGTGCGTGTGTGCGTGCGTGCGCGTGTGTGTGTGTGTGTGCGCGTGGGTGTGTGTGTGTGTGTGTGTGTGTGTGTGTGTGTGTGTGTGTGTGTGTGCGCGCGCGTGTGTGTGTGTGTGTGTGCGCGTGTGTGTGTGTGTGTGCGCGTGGGTGTGTGTGTGTGTGTGTGTGTGTGTGTGTGTGTGTGTGTGTATGTGTGTCTGTCTGTCTGTGTGTGTGTGTGTGTGTGAGGGACAAAGCCCCCAGACACTGACAGATATTTGTTTTGGTGGATACTCTTTACCCTGGCACTATGTTTCTGCCCTGGCAGCAGTAAACACACACACACACACACACACACACGCACACACACACGCACACAAGCAAGCAGAATTAAATCATACACTGGCATGGAGTCACACTTTACCCTGGCACAGTGTCATTGCCTTTCAGTGCTGTGACTCATGCCAACGCTCTAATGGATGAATCCTGCAGCAGTCTGAACAAGCATGGGTGTGTGCAAGATTTGTGCGCATGCATGTGTGTGTCACCCCTTGTGTATGTGTGTATATTTTCAAGGTGTTGTGTAAACATTGGAATTATGTGTCACAGCTGGCCAGATGACTTGCCCCGGTTTCATCTCGAATTTCTGTGCGTCTCTGTGGGAGGACGATGCTGCCACATTTGCATGAGAAAGGTTGTCAGACTAACACCTTTTCTTGTTTCTCTCCCTCCCTTCCTCCTTCCCCACCTCCCTCATTCTCTCTATCTTCCTCCTGTGTCCACAGCTCTGATAGCCATAGGCCAGTACAGCAGTACCATAGAGACTGTGGATGCCGGCTGGTGTAAGGATATCACAGACCAGGGAGCCACACAGATCGCTCAGAGCAGCAAATCCCTTCGCTACCTGGGCCTCATGAGATGTGACAAGGTAACACGGCTCAGCCCATAATGACTACTGTTGTCTGGGTTCCTGTCAGTATGTACCGTATGTGTGGCTTTCTCTCAAAAGATGTTTCTGGAGATGTTTTCAGATGTAGCAGATCAAATCTTTTTTGTGATATGTACTGCAAAACATTTAAAGGGGAATGTGCAGTGTGTTTATTTGGTCTACAGGAAAAAAAAACTATTCTAGCAATAATTCTGATTATAAAATATTTGTTTACACCCTTTTTAAAACAAATATTTTCAGTTTGACATACACACACCATTTGATATATACACGTAAACACAGAGACAAGCACACTAACATGAACCCTAAAAAGTTCCAGGTTAGGGCAACTGGCCAATTAAAAGATATCCAGAGGAGAGCATGTGGAGTAGCTAAGCCTCTGCTGCCTGTGCCCAGTATGTCTACGTGATGCATGTCTGAGTCAGCTGGTTGGGTGATAACAGAAGTAAAGTGACATAATGACCCCTCGTAAAACTACTTTGAGATGCCCCTGGGTCTGAGGGACGATCTTTCCAAAGTCACCCTTAAACTCTCATCTGGCCTCTTACCCGTCCAATCACGAACCTGATGGAAGCACATTTAGTTGTACTGCCATGGTAACAACCACACCCACCTCTCCAATTGGTTCAGGGGAGCTCCTGCCACACAGATGCATCCACTTAGTGTGGGATCATTCAGTCTGACATGAGTGGGATGAGAGGCAGACAAGGAAGGGGAAAGTGAACAGCTGTCTTAACCTAGAAACTTTAGCCTGCACTGATATTGTACAGCCCGGTGTCTTATACTGTAGCCTGGTACACAACGCGGGCTGTAATCCCAATGCTGGTGGGCCTCCATATGGTGAGTGTAACAGTATGTTTTAATGAGCCTTTCGTTTTCAGGTTGAGGCTAAATTTTACATTTGGGTTTTGAGCTGCACACATTTAAAAGCCCCTGCTGTGCAGTAAAAAGTCCAAGTAGAAGTTGGCAGCGGAGAAAAAGGAGGGAGGAGGGATTTTGACTTATAGTCAAGGCCTTTCACCAGGTTGGGAACTCATCATTTTTATTTCTTCATTATAAAATCAGTGATATCTGTGTGTCACGGCCTCCAGTTTGACCCTATGGATTTCTCTGATAAAAAACGCCTACTCGGAGATCGTTAATTGCGACAAGAACACCGGTGTATCATATTTATCTATTTATACTGTAATGAAATTAAAACATACGAGGGTCTGACAGTGACCCCGTATGTGAGGTCTCAGTGATGAAGCGGTGTACTCAGTTCAGATTATTGCAGACATGAATGTGTATCCATCATATTTATCTAGGAGTAATAAAGAGTAACTGCATTACATAGCAGGTGATCACTAAGATTCCATTTTCATTCAGTTCCCTCCTGCCTTGCCGACTCAGTGACCCAACAATCGATATTACAGCCATGCTAATAAAAATCTGTTCAGGAATGACCCACATCTTTACTGGAATCACAATTTTTCTTAGTTTCTCTCCGCCGTATGCTTTCATGCCCCGGCCCTCCCAACAACAAATTCACCCATTCCCCTGCCCACATTTTCCTTGCCATCTCTCTCTTCAGATGTGATATTCATAATTTGCCCCAGAGGATGGAAAGATAAATAATTACTCTCCCTCTGCTAGAAGGGGGGATTTGGGGATGACACAGCTAAATAAAGCAGTAATTGGTGCTATTAGAGTTGTAATGGGGGGTGAATGGAGCAGAGAGAAGAGTTTGACAGTTTCCAAGGTCAGGTACATTACCAACTCTGAACCACAGAATTAATTCACTGCATGCTTGCCCCCTTCACCCAATTCCCTGTCTTCTCTCTTTCGTGTCCTAAAATTGCGTTTAGCATTGCAAATAAGCCTAGAGTATTGGTGTGGATTGGTCAGGCCTGATGTGGGAAAGAGATCAGCCCACGGCAGCTACTTTCTTTGTTGTTGTTGGTGTTGTTGTTGTTTTCCATTATGTTAGACAAGAAAGGGAGTTACAGTAGATATGGTCAGGTTTCAGGAGGAGAGAGAGAGAGAGAGAGAGAGAGAGAGAGAGAAGGATCGTTGTTATCTGAAGTTCGCTCAGAGGGAAACAAATAAACAGAAATAGGTCGTTATTGCCACGGTCACAGTGAAAATGAGAGCTCCACAGCAAGTTAAAGAGGTAAAAAGGTGAGAGCGAGAGACAGACCAGGGGAATTGTGGTTATCTTCGTGTCAGCCCAGGGGCAGCAATGACCATGTTCCGCCTTCTTCTCCCCTCCTACTCTCATCTCTCTTCTCCTCTGCTGCTCTCTTCTCCACATTCTTCAGTCGCCTCTGTTTTCCCATTTCATTCAAATTTTTCTGTATTTTTGGGGATGGCGGCCAAATAAAGCAGTAATTGGTTCTGTTGGTGCATTTACTGTAGCTGACACTCCTCTCAAACACACCTCGCACTGAGGGGCTTTATCAAGGTCACTTTGACAGGGTCATTACTGGCTGTTGTCTGAGTTGAGCCGGTGACTCCTCTGATGTAGAACTGGCGCTTCAAGCCTGTGGCCACACTGCTGCTTCACTTCTTCACTTTGCTTGAAGGAGTCAAATACCTTTGAAATTCTTACGTTAAAAAAAAAAAGAATGACACATTGCATTTTGTCAAAAACTATAGCTTCACAGTAATTTTTGCTTTGACTGCCGCTTGGTGAAAAAGCATTGTAGGTTTCACAGCAGTTGTAATATGTGTTGCATGCCATGTCTCTTAAATTAATCAAATCAATACTTTGAAGTACTTTGCAAAATTGTTTTCAGTTGTTTATAGGCAGTGCATTCAATTTGGTCATGATTTTTTTCTGGTTTGCATGTGACATTTCAGGCTCTGGGCAATATTGTATCATGCTTTATTTGTGTATCACAGCAGTAAAATCTGGAGGCATGTCCAATTCAATCTTAGGGCAAACTAATCTCATCTCTGCACTTAATGCAGTTCTGGGAAAAAACGCAGAAGCTTGAGGACAACTCTCAATTCCACCATGTTCGTTCATAATGAAAGTCTTGTGCAAATTACTTAAGTTTAGATTTCTCTCAGTCACACAGCGTCTCTTCTTTATGTTGACAAATCCATTTGAATTTTTTCCCTCATGCCTCATATTTAATTCTTCATTGTTTAAAAATAAGATGTGAGGCATTGCTTTGCTTTCTCCATCTTTTTTCTTTCTGTACCCTGGCGTTGACAACATGAACGACCAGCATGTACCGTAAGGTCAGCAGTACTTCTTCAATTAAGTACATATTTCCTCTTCGTAGGTTGTTCAAGAACTGTTTTGATGGTTAAATTCTATAATAAATCATGAGGGAAGAACATGAGTGGATTCCAGGCAAAACTACTTCACTGTAGAATGTGTTCTCTATTAGATTTCCATAGTATACTCATATGATTGAGTTTGATAGATTTTAATTGGTTGAACACACTTAGCTTGACTCTTCACAATCTCAGTTTGTTTAGTTCAGCCGCAGGATCTACACACTTGAGGAACCATCTCAATATTTACACATCAACAAACTACCATCTAAGCCAGCATACTGCAGCTAAGGGAGTCATTGACAATGGCCCCAACCTGAAATAATTTTGCTCTGCATACTAACCATGAATGTTTGCGTTGCGAAAATAAATTGTTGTTATATATCCTTCCAACGAGCGGTTTGCTTTGGCAGATAGTTATTCCTTGTGAGAGCTATGTTGACAGTGTTTTGGACATATTACAAATATCCCAAAGTTAATATTTCCCTTACAAGGACTTTGCTTGGTTTCTGTTCAGTATGTATATGTTGCAGGAATTTAGAACAAATAACTGACATAGGTAAGCTAAAACTAGCTAAGATCAGAAGTGACAGTAACACAGTTACACAACTGACCTGTTCAGCCATCATCATTAGGGCCAGCCTAAGCCTGTCTGTCTCACAGATGTTCAGGTAACTTCTACAGTATACATTCGGCTATTTAAAATAAATACAGTTCTAGTCTCTCCTTATTTCTTCCTCTCTCCCTCCCTCACTTTTTTCCTTCTCCCCCCTCAAAGCTTCCTCCCACACGAACTGATGCAGAGTTAGGTTTCCGTGTGGGTCCTGTCAGTCTTCGACAAATACAGCCTTGTGATAACCTTGACACACAGTGCGGACAACCCAGTCAGCTCTCTGCCTCGGCAGCGCAGCCTTGCCTGTGTAAATTTGTTTGGAATTGTCAAAACGCTGGGAATTTTAATGTAACAGCTTCCCTGAATGTCACAGGACTTAGAAAGTGTAGAATTCATCTAAGGACTGTTAACAGGATCCAGCTGGCTCTCCTCATGTGGAGCAGTGTGAAGGATCGATTTCCTCCGTCACAGTTTATACAAACGTGCTTCCGTACTGTATACATTTTACTGCCAGAGAACCTGAATTGTGTGTCCACTGCCATTTGGACTGATACGAAGAATTTAAGGTTTTTTTCTCTCTCTTTTTTTTTTTAATCAGTACAAACACAGACCTAGTACGGCACAAATCTGTGTGAAGTCCCAATATTTTCTTATTCAAAGTCTCATTTAAGTAGCTGAGCCATACAGGCTCTTAATAGTATGGAATGTGTGCGTTTGCCACACTGACTTTTTTTCTTTCCTCTCCTCTTCCCTACATGTCTGTCTGAAGGATTTCCATTGTGTCTCACTGTGTTTACACTTGCTGAAATGCAACGTGTCTTTGTGTGACAGTGTGTGTTCTGCGATAGGAATTTATGTTATTTGCTGTTAACACAGTTCATAATGGAGCATTGAAATCAGAACCCCTCCAGGCCCAGAGCAAGTGGCGTGCTCCGCCTGCCTCAAATGATTACACCCCTCTGCCCTCAGGGCCAAGCGACCCTGTTCTGACGAGGGGAAAGAATGCGATTGATCCAGACTCACCCCAAAATAATCAAATCAATTCATTTTGTCCTCTTTCAGCTATAACTCTGTGCCAGTCTTTTGAAGTATTCAGCTG